ATAAAGTTTTCACTTAATTGAACTGAATTAATAGAATTTTAAATAATGTTAGGTAAATCAATTTAAATTTAGCATGAGCAGCTAGAAGTGGATTGTGAACTGGTATATTTAAAGAATGCATATCACAAATAGATAAATAAGACAGCCATATGTAGAGTCTGTTTACATTTATTGACTTTTCTTAATAAGAAAAAGTGACTGAGACCCCTCCTTTGTTAAGGAAAATCAGTTAGACTTTACAAGAACCTGTTTACTTCAACCACAGCAGACTGCTGCTGGTATATAAAGAAAGAATTTAAATGGGCAATAGATGAAGGCATGATCAGAACACTAACCAGAAAGACCATAAAGAGATTTGGGCATATGTATTTGATATAAATATTATAGTTTTATAGAGACATCTAGATCAGGATGTGCCACACTTCATTTAGTTACTTGACAAGTGAACAACATGTATTCTCAACTGAATGCTGAACAGAATTTTGTATTTATTATCTTTGATTTATTATGACAGACTAGTTAGATGGAGTTTTCTCAAGTTCTTTATACTTGTTCCAGTAAAATGGTTATAATTTCTTTCAAAATAAACAGGCAAAAGATTTGCCTTATGTATTGTGTCATCTGAAGGAAGAACCATGCAAAGGTCCTTTTTGAAGAATCCTATTCACAGTGGATCTGTTTTCATTTACAGTGCTGTTTACATGGATTAACTGTATATTCTCAATTATCTAATGTCAGAATTATGGAGGTCTTATCTTTTACTTATTTATTTTTTTTCTTCCTGAAACTGTTTGTATCTGTGGTAGCTTTGGACCTTCTAGCACCATTTTTGTTTACCTTATAAGAAGCTAGTGTATTTTTAGCAAATGTATCATGATGTCAATAGTTGAGGGGAACAAAATTAGGTAGAGAATTTCAGCTATGTAGAATCACAGTTGAAATAAACTGTGTAGAACTGTACTGATTTTTCATATTTGGTCATTGTACTTAATTTTGAGACATGTAAGTACATATGAAAGAGAATGGATTAGTCTGGCTTTATTGATTGTTAGGAAATGGCTCCTGATAAGCTTTTGATTCTCTGTGGAAGATTATTTTTGCAGCATCAGAGTCATTTGTTTATCAATAATAGTATCTATCAATCAATCAGTTTAACCTCTGATACATGATACCAATGACAGATATTACTTACAAGGAATATTAGTCCTTCTCCTGAATACTTATCAGCAATAAGAATGTCTAAATTTCTGAATCATAGTTTTCAGTATTGTAATGGTATTCCTAAATTTTGGTTTTAAAGATTAACAAAAATAAATGGAAATCGTAATTTAGCTGAGTGCTGTATTACTTTTCAGATTTTTCATAAACAAAAGATTAATTTTCAAGGTTACACATTTTTGTTGACCCAGAATTATTAATACAGTATCTTCCTACCAACCAACTTCAGCCGAAAGCAAAAGATATCTAGTATGTTGGCTTTACTTAAACTTTCAGTATGTGGAAAAACAAATGGGTGGTATATGGGAAGTGAATGGTTATTGGAACAAACAGAGGAAGTTATAAATCTTAAAATCATATACAGGACAGATTGGCACAATATAAGCTTTCCAGGTTTTCTTAAATAATGTACCTAATAACTCTCTCTGGGCAAGGAGGAAATCTGTTTCCAATTCCTTCTACTTCCAAGTAAAAATATTATTTATGTCAGAAGGAGATTACTGGGGGGGGATTTTTCAACCAAAACTTAATGCAAGTATCTCATGAGAAGATATTCTTTGAAAAACAGGGGGTTTTGTTGTAATCCCTGCTCAGGACACTGGCTTGCACTACATAAGTACAGCAAAGAAGAGAGCAACAGATCATGTCCAGCTCCAAATCAGAGTGCTAAAATGAAACCACAGATGCTTTCTGATGCTTCCTAAAGAATAAGTCTTGATGCTCAAATGCAAGAATATTTGACAGTCAAATGTTTTCTTTTCATTGGAGCAGATTGCTATGAAACCCTACTGAATGAGAATCATAACAAGATTTAATTATTGTACCAAGTGCATCTGCTTTTAGCAGGAGATTATTGGAGTAGGTCTCTTCTGGAGGTCTTTTACAATCTGAATTATCTTGTAATCTTATTTTTTTATGAAAACTTCTGCACTAGAGTAATTTTGGTTGCACACTTTATCTGGCTGGTAGTTTTTTCTCTTTGGTTTACCCATATTTTTAAAATGTGGACACTAATTCATGACAGAAGAGAATCCATATGAAGTGAAATCTCCCAGGAAGGAAGTAAATTTTCTGTACATGAGTGCAGTGTAGCACAAGAGCGTTCAGGAAGAGACTTTGGTAAAGCCAACAGAACAGGATCTGTATAAAACAGTTGCCTACAAGAATAATTTTTTTTTATTAAAAATAATGCATCAACTATGCAATTGGAAAGTTCAGTCTCTTAATTATTAGTAGATGGAAAGATTTGAAGAAAATAATACCCATACTTTAAAATTAGTAATCTTGAAAAACATGAACAGAGAGTATGAGGAATACAAATTAATTTTTTTGCTAGTGTTTATCGATTTCTCGAACCTTTGCAGCTTTTGATGCTAGATGGGTTTACACTCAGGAAAAGTGACCAGACAGCTAGAACTTTCCAATATGTTAGTGTAATGTAGTGTATCAAACACAGTCTGTTTTCAGTTTAGACCTAGTATGCTACTCAGATTTTAAACATCTTTTCAGGACCTGAACTTTCTTGGGTTTTTCCATTTACATTGATATATTGGATGCAGATTCATCCATTTGGTGAGGAGTGAATCTTAGTGTTTGAAATCATATTTAACTGTCTGTGTCAAAGGTTAGGTTGACCTAACTGTGTGTTCAATAACACACACGCACACAGTGCTGGCAACTCAGGCAATTGACCACTAGAGAAACTGAGGAAGAGTGTTTCTGAAGTGGGAAATATAGTCATGGTTTTATCCAGTACAGAGGCTCCTGCAATCTCTGCCAAGCTGCAGAGATCCCAGAGGAAACCTCTTAAGGACATCTTGCACCAAAAAAGATTATGTAATATGTTTTAAATCTTTTTTTTCTGATATTGTACTTACCACCTCATAAAACAAGAAAGCTTTAACTCAGATATTTTTGTGGTTTTAAGTGTTTATAGTCAGAGAACTCAGTGCTCTGCACACTGACTGCACCAAAAACTTAAGTTAAAATTGAGCAAAATCTTACTGAAGCCAAAGCAGACACTCTGGATAGCTAGTTTAGCGATAGAAGTTCATAGTATTGAGTCCTATGTTAAATACAAACCAGCATGATCAGAGTCTCATATAAACATATATTCCTTGCCTGTTAAACAGAATGAAACCATTAAAGTTTCTGACTTCTGCTTTCTCTAAAATTACATCTGAGTCCTGGTGATGTCACTAAGAACTCATGCAAAAGGAGTGTTTATCATATTTCTAAGTAAAGCTTTAAAACTCTGTTCTTTGCTACTTATAATTGGGGTAATCATAGAACATTATCATAAGGTGTGCTCGACTGGTATATTAGTTCATTGTGTTTTGCTTTTCTAGTCACCATCTGAACCACTGCAAAAGTAGCAGTACATGATGGTGAAATTGTTCACTGTATGATGCATATTACTGATTTATTCTTTGTTCTGCATAATTATCTATCTTCCAATGAGTTCTATGCATTTTCCACACACATTTCATGAAGCGTCAAACTATGAAGCAAGAACAGACTCCTATTATAGCCTATTACATAAGTAATCGTTGCCACTACCTGTTATGTGTTGTTTCCTGCAAATGAGGTTTCTGCATTGCTGAGTTTTCCACCGAACAATTATGAAGTAGGTGAGATGTGGATGGTCTACTTCTTATCCTTGGAATTACTTTGCTTCACATTTGGCAGCTCAAGTGCCAAATAATTTTGTGAAATTGTGTGTTTGTGCATAGACTGTATGACTGTAATGAAGTTGGTTTTCTGCTAGTTCAGGAATTGTAGCTATACCACCTTGTCCCTCTTCCTGACGTCTGTGAGCAATGTGGTTATTGGAAGTGTTAGCAATAGGTATATCAAAATCACTGTCTTAAACCCATGACAGTAATCGAAGCCAGGGTTGAGTTTATTCGACAAAGGAAGTTGTGAGACAATGTAGGATATTCTAATCACAAATTTTTGTGCTTTGCTTTACAATAATGAAAGAGCAAAGATCCCGTAAGTCAAGAAGGGTGCAATTTCTTAGGCATTTTCTTCAGCCTCTCAATTTAAGATGTAGAATTCAAGAATTTGTATGTAGATATATATTGTGCTTCCATCTCACATGGTCAGATGCATCTAGTTATGGAAATGTGGAGCAGCAGTAACCTTCATGACATCACAGTCTTCGCAAACTTAAGATTTTCTAAGCAATCGATTGCGATGGTGCAATGAATAATGATTTCTTATTGTAAAGTACTCTCCTTGTAGGAGTTTTGGTAGGGAAAATATTTCTTTTATACTCCTTATAGCCTATTATTGGCAAACGGTGCACTGCCTTCATTGTTGTAAGTGTCTGCTTTCAACCGTGGAAAAATATCAAATCATTTTAGGGAGATTTGCTGTCTCATTATTAAACTAAAAATTTAAACAGTAAATATCAGTAAAGGACGTAAAGATGTGAATGAAGATGGGTAAAATAAAGAAATATGACTTTGAAGGGAACTGGTAAATACAGTGTATAAACATATATATAAATGATGCCACCTATTGTTGAATGTGTAACACAGCTTGGCCAAATGGTTTGTTAATAGTGGTCTTTGCAGGTAAGAGTGTATATGTATTTGCAATAGCAAAGCATCATCTGGAACCAATGTTTTCCTTCTGTCTTCATGGAATAGGATCTAGAGAAACATCAAGAAGAGACTAACACTTTTTTTGGCCAATAAATTATATTTTCCTTCTCTGCTTTCTTGCTTGCTTGTTTTACCTTCTCTGCAAGATTAACTCTGATTTTTCTGTAACAGGCACATAGTTGTCTGTGGTCACATAACACTTGAAAGTGTGTCCAACTTCCTGAAGGACTTCCTGCACAAGGATAGGGATGATGTCAATGTAGAGATCGTCTTTCTGCATAAGTGAGTAATTTTTCAAGATTATTCTTACCATCTGTTACTAAAAGTTGTTAAATTAATGTGTAACATTTTTGGGAAGACAGAGGATCTTTCAAGCTCCAAATAACCATTTAATTAATGTTTGCAACTACTTTTGTTAACAGTGTATTTTGTAATTTTTTTTATTTTGTATTTTCTGTAATTTTTTATGATTCATTGCTAATCATACATGTTTCAAGCAGAGAGACCACAGACCCAATCGTGTCAGTTATGACATAGATAGCTAAGCACACAGTTGAAGTGAGTATGGAATTATGAAATAAAATATGTTGAAATACTAATGAATAGATGTGAGAATTTCCCACAGTGGAAAGTATTTCTAGTGAAACTACCAAAATTGTTGAAATCAGTAAAATTAGTGAACAATACTGTATGTCATATGAACTCATGCTATCTGAAAACACATTTTCACATTTGATTCCACTAGTAAAAGCACTTATTTTGTATTGCAAGATATTTATAAAAAGAAGAACGTAGGTGCAGATGAAGTTTTAATATAAATGAGATACACTACAGATACAGTGAAGATAGAAAATAAATTCTTGTCACAGTGATTATTAGTACTGCTCTGTTACCCATATATACATACATACACACACATAGTTTCTTGTGTTTTTCTGATACCAGACTTGGAAAGAGATCTTAAGGTGGTTGCTGTTTGTTACAGGCTCTGCGTTACATGTAACACAATATCAAATAGGTGTGCCCATGGGAGAAGCTGTTAGAAATAGCCATGTGCTAGAGAGAGAGAGTATGAAAGGTCTTTTCTGCTCTGGAATGGCATCTGTTTAGAAGTGTTGCAAGCTATGAATAACTAATATTTTTGCATTTAGCAGCAAATTCTGCACTTCTTGTCAAAGAAAATTATTAAAAAATTAAAAAATCAGTTCTGATGATCCAAAAAAGGAAGTTGAAAAACTAAGAATGAACAGGACTTGCACAATTTTTTTTCAAGGTCCTTTCAGATTGAACTAGAGATTATATCCTTAAGAATCAACATTGTTTGTTTGCTTGTTTACCCTCTCTAAATAATAACTACAATTGACTGTGAAAGGAAAGCAGAGATGCAGATTTGGTGATAGGAATCAGGAAACTGATATGCACTCGAGGGGACTTTTGGACCTGTCTGCTTGTGTGTGCATGCTTTTTTCTGTGCCTTCATGGTCAAATATTTGCATGTATCTGTTTTATTTTCTTAGTAAGTTTAGCATCTGGCATGACAAAGATCTCATGTACTTACTATGTGGCTATTAAATCTGTTCTGTTTTAATCAATACCATCAGAAAAGGTATTTACAGTGTTGGTGCCACTTTATATATGATCTGTTGATGGTGATCCATTTAATTTTTCTTCTGTGTATGGCAAAATGAAATGAGACAGAAAGTCACAGCATAATTATGTTTGCTTTAATTGTAGTTTATACAGTCCACAGAGTCCCTATAGGGTTTATTTTCTGGTTTTAAGCATTTTTGCATTGAGCTCTCTTATTTGATGCAATGGGCTGTTTTGAGAAAGGTGGAGACATGCAGAGTATGATTGTCTTACTAGAAAAATTTCTGTGAAGAATAATGTGTGAGGATATTTTTGAATGTTTTTACCAGTTCTTCTGTATTCTGGAGAAACTGACAAATGATGAATGTGCAGAGTGACACAATGAAGTTGGCCAGAAGCGCTGTAGACAGAAGGAAGTGAAAGCAGTATACTATTTGTCTTTTAAGTACTGCACACTGTTTCCACACCACAGGAAATACATCAGCAGAAGTTCAAACACCTAAAACAAATACATGGGTTGGTTTATAAATGAAGGAAATGAGGCAGATATGGAAACTGACTTCTCATTTGCTCTTGTGTTTTCTTCCTCTTCCCAATGCAGTATCTCCCCTAACCTTGAGCTGGAAGCTCTTTTTAAACGACACTTCACTCAGGTGGAATTTTATCAGGGTTCAGTCCTTAATCCCCATGACCTGGCGAGAGTGAAGGTAACAGCTCTGTTGTTCTGTTCTCCTGCTAATTGACTTTTTAAAAAGTAATTATTGCATTATTTTGAAAACAAAACAAAACAACAAAACCCAGTAAAGCTCTTCTTCATGTAACCCCAAAGATTGTTTTTGTATCACCATTAGCTTGCCTAATAAATTATAATAATTTCTATCCTTATAAAACTTTTCCCTATATCTTTGTATCTTCAAAGCTACACCGTGACTTAGACACATTGTCTGCTATTCCATTGAACTCTATGAATTTTTCATTGGAGTTTAGATCAATTGTCTATCTTACATTAATGTTTGATATAGTAGAACATTGTCTTACAGTAATTGCTTAAAATGCTATTGTCTTACCTTCGCCAGAATGATTAGAAAATAATTTTTCACCTGTCAAACCATTTTTCTATTGTCTAGAATCCTGGAAAAAAAATAAATAAGATTTTTGGTAGCTAGACTAAGATGATTCTATTGTCTGGATTTCTCTATTGTAAATTATTTAGGAATCTTAAAGAAAAACATAAAGCTTAAATGAATGAAAAAGATGGCAAGCTGTCAGATACAGCATTAACTCTTACGTTTTGAGGTGTTTTTAGTGTAAATGTAAACTGACTACTTAAGTCGAGAGTATTTCAGTGCAATGTTTGTCTTTTGTCCATTTTGGCTGCAGAAATTGCTTAACCTTTTGTAGGCCAACACACTGTTTCTGTTCACAAGAACAAAATGTTCTAATTATGACCATAAAAATGTGTGTTGGTATTTTGTATTCTGTATTCCACCCTTTGTGATTGTATTTGGTTGTATACCCTGAAAAATACTTTTTTCATCTGCTTTGAGTTAAATAAAGCTAAGGTTTATGTGAACATAGAAGTCCTGTGAACACTTAAGTTCTCCTCAGGCTTTCTAAAACTGGTGCTCGGATTCTAAATCATCAGTTCAGCCTCCTCTTCCTGTCTCTAATAGGAAGCTACTTAAATTCCAAAAAAAAGCTGCAGAAATTGCATGAGCACTGTACTGATATAACAGGAACTTCCTATGGATTTAGGGATCTGAATTTCAGTATCTGGTTACAAAAGCTATGTCCATTAACACCTTCATGCCTCAGCTGATACAAAGTAAGACTAAATATTTGAACTACTGACCTGGTCTGAGCATCACAAGCAAGTTTCAAGAAGTTGCTATCTGTATATGAGAGCTGTTATGATCACTAATATTAACTCATGTTAGTCTTGTAATCTTTTTAATTAGCAGTATTAAGAACTGATATTTGCACTCATGATGGTAGTGTTGTATTCCCTAATACTTTATGATGAAAGAAGAGCTGGAAGGAGAGGTTGCTATTTATGTTTGCTTTTTCTTTGGTGTCTCAGATAGAGTCAGCAGATGCGTGCCTAATCCTTGCCAATAAATACTGCGCTGACCCAGATGCTGAAGATGCCTCCAATATTATGAGGTAAACTCATGAGTTTTTAATAGGTTTTTGGTTCTTAACTCTGATTAGCTGACTTCTGGTTTTCAGATAGCACACACAACCTTACTGCTGATCTATTGCACTTGAAGAACGTTACAGGATTTTTTATAGGGGAACAAATTAAAAGATTGTCTCAAAAGTACAGAGAATACATTAACCTAAATTCCAACCTAAACTGTTTTAATTTAGATGATTTAGAAAGAGTGTTGGAAGAGACATTTGGAGCACAAGCTTTGGTACTCCAGTCATTTTGCAGGACCTAGGGTTTAGGTGTTCATAGCTGAATGCAGTTGTAATAGAAATGAGGGGAAAGGGAATGCAGTTATGCTGTTGCAACAGTATATTATTTACATGAGTCCATGTACTTGCATGGGCTGCTGTTAATGATGGGACAGAAGGACCATTAATCATGTCATACCTCATTGTTCCTTGGTATATCTGCTCCTACAAGTAGCTGCACTGCTCAGTGGAACTCAAGGTACACATTTCATGATGGTATCAATACAATGGTCTCCTAGCTCCATCCTTCTTTTTTACACTGAAGTCCAAACATTGCATATTTTGACTGAAAAGGCACTTGCCGCTTTAGAGATCACCAGATCTTGTCCTGCTTTCCTCCTTATATTCTTTGAGGGAAGGAGATGAAAAAGGCAGTCAATAGATGACAGCTAAAGTTACAATAAAGCTACGACATTCCAATTTTTGTGTTTTGTTCATGCAACACTAGTTTTAATTAGACCAGTCTCTCCTTTTTAAAATTAAAATGCCAATTGTTTGTTAAAAATTCTCAAACATAGAATTGGCCAGTGTTACGAACCAGTTTTAATGGCCTGGCAGATATTTGTGTGTGATGAATTGAAGGAAGGGGAGAAGGAAAAAAAAAATTAAAAACTTGCTCCACAGGAAGTTCACTGTGCACAGGAGATCTGGCTGGCTGTGGAAGATGCAGGCTTAAATATGCCTAAATATATGCCTGATTTAATTTTCCAAACATGTTTTTGAGTTGCAATGTCAGAAACTTTATTTTAACATAAATTGCATAAATGCACTAAAAATATTCAGTTGCAGATTAGTACATTTTTAATAGATTTAATACATTTAATCAACGAAGTGCAAAAACTTTATTTTGAGAGTGGAATACTCTTGTATTTTCTCACATTTCAATAAATGTAATTCAATGAAATTGAATATTTAATTAAATAATTCAGTAAGAAATTGAAAATTAGAAGGAAGAGTAGTTTTATCCTTCAAAAAGATAGGGTAAATTAAAATAATGCATACAGCTTTTTTTATTTGCTTCATGCTCTAGTTTCGATGTGCTTCAAAGCGCAAGCCAGACCAGCAGTTTGCAAGATACTTCCTACAAAACACCAGCGTAAACAACTATGGCATTTAGGATCTTATGAGACTCATGACTCCAAAATAACTCTTGATTATTTTTCATTTTGATTGTTTTATCTTCTTTTTCTACCTTTGGTTTGTATATACAGAACTGATTTTTTTCTGCCTGTTTCTCTCTTTAATTCTGCTCAATGCTTTTTTAAACTGTGTATTCCTCTTTTCTTTACGTATTATCAATCTAATAATTTCTCAAACTTTTTTCTTTAAAGCCACTTTTAAGCTGTACACAGTTGAGTGTATCTTAGGCTCATTAAATAATTAAGAATGCAAACTGTAAATTATGGAAGTAGCCCCATATTTTATAAATTCCTCATTCAGATATCCATTTCAATATTAAGCTTTGGAATAACACATTAAAAATAAGGTGATTTTTCATGTGGGTTTATGTAAAAAAAAAGCATTATTCAAAGTATTCAAATATGATGAATGTCTATCAACTGTAAATAAATAATACATGGTGGAGCAGAAAGAAAGGGATTCTTTTCAGATGTTTACCATTGGGAAACTTGATCAATTATGTCAATTAAAAGACATGAAGATAATAACTAAAGATGACATAATAGTTGCAAGTGTATTATTTGCTTAATAGAATGAGTACAGTATCTGAACAGAGCTGCTAAAACAAGTTTCTGTTTCTGCAGATTCCATAAGAGCACAGCATTCAACTGAATAATTCCTGAAGTGTGGTGTTCCCTAGTATTAGCCAGTGGTTATTAACTGAATTTGACTGGATGCAAATATTGCATAGATCTGATTTCAATCAGTATGCTTTACAGCCAGTGAAGTAGAGGTATTGGGATAAATTATCCAAATATCCCACCAGCTATAAGTTATTTTAATTGTTTTTCTTTTATTTTTAGAGTTATTTCAATAAAGAATTATCATCCGAAGATAAGAATTATCACTCAGATGTTGCAGTATCACAATAAGGTAACATGCTGACCAACAGTGTCTCTCCCCAGAGTTTTTTGCTACACTGTGTTCACTCATACACAGGTTTTCTAGCTCCACTAATAGTGGGCATTTTTCTTTCCAAGCAAAAACATCCTAATAAGCGTTGTCATGTAATCCAGTTATAAGGTAATACTGTTTCATTTATATGTGCAAGGGCACTTCTCAAAATTCTGACATTTATTAATTGCCTACGGTCTAATTCTCAAAGCCACAGTTTCCATAGTTGCTATTGATTCCAGATGAGCTTTTAACTGCTCCGCTTCTATAGGTTTTGCTCAGTTTATTACACTAGAGCTTACCCAAGATGAGTTGATGGCCTCTAGGCAAGCCATCTGAAGTCAGTTCTTTTTAGATACTTTAAGAAAATGCCTAGAATTATTCTCTTATTAGACATTTATTGTGATATTTTGTTCCTTGGATGAAAATGTACATTTGAAATTGCCATGTAGCAGGTACAAAATAAATAAAATATTTTTTTCATGTAAACATAATTCAGGTGTGAAATTTGTTGCTAAAAATATTGTGGAGATAAAAATTATAAATCCAGTTTTGAAAGAAATGTAGTGAATTTTTGGTGGTAAATCTGCAGCTTTTTAAACATGATCAAGTCATTTTATTAAATCCTGAGATGGGGAAGTAAATAAACTGCTGATTAATAGGGTTAGGAAGAATATATAGAGGATAGACTACTCATATGTGACATGCTTTTATTATTTCTAAAAGCACCAACCACTACTCAGTGTTGGAGAAAAAGCTTGGCTGGGTAGACCTTCATTCAATGAAACACACAATAATCCTTGTACTTAGAAAACTTGACTGCAAACAACTCCTTGTATCTGTAACCTTTGGCTAGAACAAGAGCAATTACTGTTGGTTATGTCCTCTTCCTGTATGTGAATGGAAGGAACCTGTCTTTCTATAGAATAAAAGCAAGGTGTTTCTCTGCTTTAAACAAGTTCAGAGGGGAAGATCTTTTTAATACTACTTTTTTCCTTTGTAGTTCCAATGAATGCATATTCAAGAATAGCTTTGATCAGAGAACTGAACTGTGATATTAACTTAGGAAGCGAAACAAGCATGAAAGTCTCTGTGTTTCATTATGTTTATACAAATGTACTAGGTAGATGGAAGAGAGAGTTCAATAGAGTTATTCCAATAACTGAACAACATTAATACTTATCTAACTGACCAGTGTCAATACTGGAGGTCTGTTTTGATCAGCTATTTTCTTTATTCTATGCTTATAAATAGAAATCTTAGGAAAAAGTTTGGATTTTCAGTAAGTCAAGTGCTATCCTTCAGTGCAGAAAGTATGAAATAGAACAGACGTAACATGGTACATACCTTATTAAATGACAATGTCCTATAAAGGTTGCAACTTCACATGAGTTGTAATCTAAGTTATATTAGATTCCTGTATATAATATATGTGCCTTATCTGTTAGAGAGTAGCTCAAAGTGATGTAAAAGGAATATACAGAAGGGAAAGAAAACTTTACAACACTCTATGGTTCATTCAGGTGTGAGAATGGGCCTGACTGTGTCACAGGCTGAATATGGCTTAAGAAATGTATGATTTTGTCTATAATAGGTAAGATTGGAACACTTCTTAGCATAGAATTAAATTCTAAAATACTCAGTGTTTCTGCCTATTCAGAAAAAGTCAAGCCAGTACCAAAGGAAATAATTCACTGCTATCTCCTTCATTACTGGATTTGAGGAAATATTTCTGGTTCTTAACCTGTGGGGTATTTTGTTTGTTTGTTTTTCAGGCCCATCTGCTAAATATCCCAAGCTGGAACTGGAAAGAAGGGGATGATGCAATCTGTCTTGCTGAGCTTAAGCTGGGTTTCATAGCCCAGAGCTGCCTGGCACCAGGCCTTTCAACAATGCTAGCCAACCTCTTCTCTATGAGGTCATTCATAAAGGTAATGTCTCATTAGATTGTATTAGTCTGCAACTGGGTTTGTCCAAGAGTTGAGTAGAGAACATGACTTAAATATGAAACAGCTAGGAACACATTAACAGTTTTTTTTAGGACAAAAAAGCAGCATACACTTCCATACAAAAGTTCTCTGCTGCAAATTGGGCAATGAGCCAGGTTCTGTCAAGTTATATTTTATTATTATTATTCAGCAAGTGTTTGACCTTTAAATGATTTTTCAAAACGTCATCTATTTCTAGGGAGATGTTTCTGGTGGTTTTTTTTTGTTTTGCTTTGTTTCAGACAAACCACATATTTATCTATGAGAAAAGCCCATGCTGGTAAAACAACAAAAAAAATATTTATATATGTCCCATAGAGCAACAATGTGTCCAGAAAAAAAGGACTGATCATTTTGGTTTTTTACATCAAGTGGTTAGTAGACCTCTGACTGGGAGAGTAAATAAGAAACGTGTGTTGGAACTGAAGCCTGAACTGCCTACAACATCATTCATCTTTTTGTTTCTCCTCAGTCAAAGATCTCTTTTGGACTTATATGGCAAAATTTTAACCCAGTTATTCCTAGACTTCTATGGCAGCTGTACTTGTTCACTGAACCGGAACCTTGATTGCAACAATCAGTGCTTCCTCCCTCATGCCTTTCTGGGACACTGATTCCAAATATAAAGGATGATCAGTTTCTCATGAGTGTTCTTAATAGGATGGGATACACTGGAATGCAAGATAAGCCGTAGTCCATTTCAAGTCCGTTGTGCAAAAAAATCCTTAAACTGTTTTACTTCATTAAATCAAATTTGGGAACCGTCTATGACTCATCAACTTATGGTCTCTTTGATATTAATCCTTTCTACTTTTATCTCAAAATAAAACTATATCTCTTATGAACTTCATTTTTCTTGCTGGCCCTTTTGGTCTCCCTCACTCTTGCCTGGTGTGATAACCCAAGACTCTCAGGAGTCTCAGACATTTGTTACAGTCACACTGACATGTGACTTCTAACTAACTTCTCTTACTTCAGATGTCATCTTTAGATGGCACTGAGAGAAAAAAGGGTGTAAAATAATGCACTGGGAGAATGCAAGACTCTATTAGTACTGGTTAAAAAGATGTCTGCCACTTAACTAAGAATGAATTGTCCAGGCAAGTAAAATGTGTATCATCATTTCCAAAGATTTCTGAGTATATTAAAATCTAAAGCAAAATAAATGTAGAACTGAGACATGTTTCTTCATGAGAATCTAACTTGACTGTGAACAGCAAAAGGTTTGTTTCTTTATTCAGCTGAGAAGATGTTCTTTCTCCAAGCTGTCTCATTCTAAAAACTGTATTTGAAAGAGAAAACAAAACAAACCACTAAGTGGTAGCTGAGAAGCAGCAGTGTATTGTAGGAGAGCAGCTACATTGATTGGAATTGTTAAAGGTCTCTACTGAAAAAAAAGATACCCATTCCCTAAGAGAACACCCACCCCTTTTCATTTAGAGCACTGTATTTAAGTACTGTCAGACTTTCATAAATTCCTTGGGGAAATGTTATTAGTGGAGTCTCCCACAAGTTTGAAGATAGCCAGGAAAATGTACTGTAACTCCTGTATTTTTTAAAGAAAATTTGAAATGTGTGTTTGTTCCTCCTCCTTCATAACATGATTAGAAAGTGATTTAATGTGCCACAAATGTTTGGTCAGTCAAACACGAATGAACAAGATTGATGGTGACATTGCACACATTTAATTCATTATGTATTACTTCACAGGAAAATGATTTGTGTAAACAGTCTGCCCAGTATTGGAGGTAAAACAAACTAAGAAACCTCAAAATATTATATTTGTCCCTAATATTTTCCTTTTGGTTTTAGCGATGTAATCTCATATGGAATCATTTATGTTCTCTTTGGCATCAAACTGAACAAAACGGAAATCAGCTCAAAAAGATTAAGGTTCTGTAAACACTTAAAGGAAGAAAGATGGATTGCATATCAAATGATTTGTTAAGGAAAAAATCCCAAAACTTTACACCTGTAAACTGTATTTCAATAGTCCAATCTTTTTATGGCACAGAATGTTATTGTTGTATTAATAAAGAATTGGGGCTCTTTATTACTTGCATAGTCTCAGAAAAAGATGGAAATACTATAGTGCAATTTCTGTGTTGTTTGGAGTAGCAAATGTATAGCAGAAGTCTACCCATATGAAAAACATTGCAAAAAGTAAGTGGAGTAAAAGGCAGAGGTGATCAAATTTTGTGCCTGTATACAACCATGCAAGCCAATATAAGTTACAACTGTTGTGTAAATTAATAAAATGTGCAATATGGTCCTTGAGTGCAACACAAGTCCACAAACAAATTTGCTCTATTGGTAAAACACTACACCTCTCTCCAGATCTGAAAAATTATCTAGAGTAGTCTCAATTTTTCTCTAAGCTATTTTGAGAGAAGAAATGCTCTGTGGACTCTTTTCACAGCTGTTACTCACACCTACACATAGGTTATGCCCACTTGCCCCACTACATTCCTTTCTAGTCGAGGCTGAGAGAGAGGTGTAATAAAGTCACACAGATTTACATCAGTCAGGTGCTTACCTACACTATGGAACACATCAACAAACATGTGGTTTGCTTTTTTTTTTTTGGGCCACCTAGGCATCCTTGGACTATTTTAAAGTATGAAACTAGGGCATGCAGAGTCAATTCCTTCAAATAAAGGAGAATGCTAAAAGGGCGATGGGAAGGGAAAAAACAACCCACAACCAACAAGAAAACCCTTTATTTTTATTGTGATGTTCTTCAAGAGGCTGCATAATAAACAGATTACCTGATCCTCCTCACAGGATATAGACTGAATATTAATATAGCCTGTTACATTTATTCTCTAAAAAGTCTGCCTGAATGTGATATTTTTAATTGTTGAGTCTAGGAATTAAAAACTGTTGTGCTTGAAAACTGTTTGCTATTTACAAATAGTATCAGTCCTCGTGATAAGAATATATTTGTCTTGGACTGGAGTCTACCATGGAGCACAGTTTTCAGTCAATAGTTTTAATAGATCAAAACCACTCTATCTTTTGCATTATTATTTGATAGAAATACTACCCTGTTTTGTACATTTGAAAGTATTAAAAGTGGATCTTGTGTGACTTCTAGTTCACACTCATGAAGGCCAGAATAAGAATTATCAAGAATACTCTCTCTGCTTTGACCTAGTACAAGACTCTGTGTTTGTATGAACAGTGAAACAGTGCATATGTCTCTCGTTTGAAATTAGAGCTAATGTTAATTAACATATTTGATGTTTTATAAAACATACACTTTTCATACCAATTTTAAAAAACATTCTTGCATACAGAAAGAACTATGGGAACAACTGACTGAGGTTTTAAGTTTTTATACCACTAAGGATACTTATTAGCTTTGATATAAGCAGACAATGGAATTGAGTAAAAAGTAGTTGATGATTTATAATACTTAAGGAAATTCAATTATAAGACTGTGAATCTAAGAAGCTTCACTCTTCTCTAGGGATGTATGAACTGCTTTCAGCCAATTAGTTATCTGTCAGATTTTGATATCCGTATCTAAAGACATTATAAAACCAGACATTCACACAAGTGGTATGGATGGACTGAAAGGGCATTGCAGGTGAACATGAGGAAATGGTTAAAATACATTGCTTTCAATGTACAACTTCTTTTCAACTACCAATCAAGAATATTCTATGTGTACTTTCTTTTTATTCTCATCTCAGTTGTTAGAAAAATACCTACAATTGTGTGGAGAAGAGAACTGTAAAATTAAATATCAGGAAGCCCAGGCAGAGTTCTGAGCCTAGGAGAAGGCAGGAGTCCCTGTGTTAGATGGAAGTAGATGAAAACAGCTTTGCAAGGGCTCAAGAAAATTGCCCGAGTTAAGATGTTATTTTCTAGACACCTTTGTAAAACATTTCTCTACAAGACCTTCAGGACGTCTTTGAAGAGAAAATTTTATATGTATTTTATAAAGGAAATAGGTAACAACTTTAATGTTGTTTAATTTTTTGATACAAACTTTATAATTTTCAGAAGACCATTTAGAATTTCTGAATTTCATGCACCTAGACAAAATACTGCATAATGAGACACGTATGCTGGAAAAAAATAGACCATTAGAGTAAGGTAGGGTCTCTTCAACAACAAAACTGAAATATTCAAGTGCTATTCTAGAGAAATAATTAATTTACTGTGCTTTTTGTGGTGTTTGTTTGTTTTTTTAATATTTATTTTTATCATTCTATTAGATAGGGTTGTTTATCAAAGTAAATATATGTCCAAAATATTAAATGCATTATCTTCTTTCAAACATCTGAAATTATTCTCAACGGGCTTGTACTGTGCTCTGTCCCTGGTGGTGATGAGCTGAGCTTATTCAATGCTCCAGAGCAGACTTTACAGCTGCTTTTCATGTGCTATAAAGGAATTTTCATTGTTCCACCTCCTTAATATTTATAAAGACCATCCTTTCTGTGTTTTACTTTGCGAAGTGCAGTCTAAGATCCTAGGTCACACTACAGCTCTAGCATTAGTTCTCTGTCTTGATAGTGAGACAGATCTTGACAGAAGAGATTATGTATTATTATAATATTTAGATATACTTAATCTAGTTCATGTAACTATTTATATCATTACACTGAGAAGCAAATGCTATGAACAAGATAGATCAGCTGGGGCTACAGAGCACCTGATAATTACACTGCCAGGGAGTAGGGCTGGGTGTATTGAGGATTTAGTTTTTTTCCTGACAATACTAATGTTTGTCCTTGTGAGATGTACATAGTTTTTTTTGTATCTCTGTCACCATGTCTCACTAGGAAAGGATTGTATTATGTAAATATATTTGCTGGTAACAACATTTTATCTATGTACAGATAGAGAAGAGCAGAGGAGCATTGTGACTTAAAGATACAGATGAAAATTAGATTTCTTCTCTTGGGATACACTATGTCATTTTCCAGCAA